TTCATTTGCTCATTTTTCTATGACACATTAGTAGGTCTTTTCAAACACTAAAAAAATTAAAATCCCTCTAAACACCACTTTACACAGTCAAATACATCAGGTATTTTATAAATGCCAATTCTTTTCTTTGAGACCTCACCTCTTGGACTCCTTTGCTCTCTTGCTTCAGTATAAACTGATGAAAATTTACACCTAAGGGGTGGGGAACCTAGGGCCTTGGGGCCACGGGTGGCCTTCTGGATCCTTGAGTGTGGTCTTTTGACTGAATCCAAATTTTACAGAACAAATATATTTAATAAAGGGATTTGTTCTGTGAAGTTTGGATTTGGTCAAGGGGCCAGAGATTCCCCAACCTCACGTAGGCGTCGGCAGGCGGATTCCTAATAAAAGATGTATGGGAAATAAAAATTATAAGCACTTCCATGCTTGAAGACTTCTGTATTCCACCTGATTTATATTTCCAGGTTGGAAGTCATTTCCTTCATAATTTTGAGGGTTTTCTTTAATCCCTTGTCTTCTACTTTTAAGCATTGATCTGGAGAACACAGGGGACATTCTGATTCTTGATATATTGTATGTGACTCTTCTGTCCTCTTCGGGAAGTTTTAGAACCTTCTTTCTGGTCTTGGCATAAAGAAATTTCACACAAATTGATTTGTATGGGTCTTTTTTTACATATATGAATTATGCTGGTACTCTGTGAGCCCCTTCAACCTGTATAGTCATATTTTTCAGTTCTGGAGAATTTTCTTATACTGTTTCCTCAAGAATTTCCTCTTTTCATTTTCTCTGCTTTCTGACTCTTCTATTATACTGCCATCCTGCCGATTAATTCTAGAATGTGCTTGAACTGTTTCTCATTTGTTTTTTTTATCTGTTGTCTTTATTTAAAGTTTTAAAAAATGTTTAATTGTAGTAAAATACACATAACATTTATCATCTTAACCATTTATAAGTGTACAGTAGTATTCAGTGCATTCCTACTGTTGTACAACAGATTTTTCAGAACTCTTTTCATCTTGCAAAAGTAAAACTCTATACTCATTAAACAATTCCCTATTCTCTCCTCTCCCCAACACCTGAAAACCACCATTCTACCTTCTGTTATCTATAAATTTGACTCTGGGTACCTCATACAAGTGAAGTCATAAAGTATTTGCATTTTTGTTACTGGCTTATTTCATTTGGTGTAATGTCCTCAAGGTTCATCCATGTTTGCAGCATCTGTTGAGACTTCTTTCCTTTTTAAGGATGAATAATATTCCATTGCATGTGCATAGCACATTCTGTTTATCCATTCATCCCTCAATGTCTGGGCTACTTCAACCTTTCGGCGATTGTAAATAGTGCTGCTACGAACATGAGTGTACACATATATTCTTGAGACTCTGCTTTCAAGTCTTTGGGGAATATATCCAGAAGCGGAATTGCTGGATCATACGGTAATCCTTTCAGTACCCACCACACTGTGTTCCATAGTGGCTATACCACTTTACGTTCTCATCAACAGTACACAAAGTTTCAAATTTCTCTATATCCTTGCCAACACTTATTATTTCCTGTTTTGTTTTTTTTTTTTAATAGTCAGTATCCTAATGGGTGTGAAGTGGTGTCTCATTGTGGTTTTGATCTGCATTTCCCTAATGGTTAGTGATGTTGGGAATCTTTTCATGTGTTGTTGGCCATTTGTATATCTTCTTAGAAGAAATATCTATTCAAATCTTTCGCCCATTTTGAAATTGGATTTTGGGGGTTTTGTTATTGTTGTTTTTCTTTGTAGAAATTCTTTACATATTCTTGATATTTACCCCTTATCAGATACATGGTTTACAAATACTTTATCCCATTCTGAAAGTTTCCTTTTCACTCTGTTGATTGTATCCTTTGACGTGCATAAGTTTTTCTATCTTGATGCCCAGTTTATCTATTTTTACTTTTGTTGCCTGTGTTTTTGGTGTCAAATCCGATAAATCATTGCCAAATGCAAAGTCATGAAGCTATCCCCCTATGTTTCCTTCTAAGAGCTTTATAGTTTGCCCCTTTGTGTTTTGTCATTAACTTTGCTGTCTAAACCTTCTATTAAGTTTATTTCACTTATTCTATTTTTATTTTCTAAGAGCTCTCTTGTTCTTTATTATTTTTTATAGAAGTTTCTTATTTGATAGATGAATATCCTTTTATTTTTCTGGTATACTAATTTGAAAAATGTTGCTCCCTATATTATTGTTTCTGTTTTCTATGAATCTCCCACCCACACCTGTTAGTGTCTTTCTTTCATATAAGACTCTCCTCTCAATTGTCTGGTGACACTTTGTTGTACCTATATACTTAAGGAAATCAACGCATTGAAGAACTGCTGATTGGAAGTAGCTTTTTGGCATGGCTAGAGCCTATCAACTGGTGGCTTTAACTTAGGATAATTGGGAGTGAGGGAGCTTCACATGAAGGTAGGGCTGGCTCCAAATGTATGTCCCTGGGTTTTTTCCCTGACTCCTGATCAGTTTTTCCAGTTAATGGTTCTCTAATCTCCCCCCGACAATAACATCACAGGGATTGGTATATACTTGTCCATCCACTCATGTTATTACAGTCCAACTTCACAGAGGAGCTGGCAGTCTCAACACTCAGCATGTTTCCTCTGCTCTCTGTCCAGTAGCCTCTCTTGCTTTCCACAGTGTCTGTGAATTCTGATATAGAGGCTTCTCATTTAATGTCTCCACCTGAAGCAATTTCCAGTGTCCTGTCTAGGCAGAAGAAGACGAGATGCTAAACCA